GGGTTTTTGGGGTTTGGGGTGTTTGGGGTTTGGGGTGTTTGGGGTGTTTGGGGTTTGGGGTGTTTGGGGTTTGGGGTGTTTGGGGTTTGAGTTTGGGGTTTTTGGGATTGTGGTTTTGGGATTGGGGTTTTGGGGCTTGGGGATTTGGGGTTTTGGGGCTTGGGGATTTGGGGTTCTCAGGATTTGGGGATTTGGGGTTTGTGGGGTTTTCAGGATTTGGGGTTCTCAGGATTTGGGGTTTTTGGGGTTTTCGGGATTTGGGGTTCTCAGGATTTGGTGTTGGGGGTTTTGGGATTTGGGGTTCTCAGGATTAGGCGTTGGGGGTTTTTGGGATTTGGGGTTCTCAGGATTAGGCGTTGGGGGTTTTTGGGATCTGGGGTTTCCCGGGGTCTCACCTGGCCGCTCCTCGCGGGCCGGGGCCCCTTCGGCCTCGGGGTCCCTGTGGCCGGGCCCCTCCTCCTCGTCCCCCTTGCGGGGCCCCTCGGCCTCGCTGCCATCGCCCGGCGACGGTGGCACCTCGGGGACAGGGGGCTGCGGGGACACGAGGGGCTGTCACCCGCGGCGTCCCCGGGGGACATCACCCCCTCCGAGAGTGACAGCGAGGGGGACACGGCGACAACGGTGGGGAGGGGACAGGGACAGGAACGGGCATGGGGACAGGGACAGGAGGGTGGGGACAGCGCTGGGGACAGGGACGGGGTTGGGGACAGTGAGGGCACAGCTGGGGACAGCCAGGACATGGCTGGGGACAGAGAGGACACAGAGGGGACAGGGTTGGGGACAGCTGTGTCACTCACATCTGTCTCCATCTTCTCGGGGCCTTTGGGTTCCTTCTCGTCCCTGGTGTCACCCTCGTCCCTGTCCGGGGGTGGCCCTGGCCCGTCCCCGCGCTCGCTGGGCGCCGGCGTGGCTGGGGACAGGGGACATCAGGACATCGGTCCCCATCCTGTCCCCAGCCATGTCCCCGTGTCCCCCAGCCGTGTCCCCATCCCTGTCCCCATGTCCCATCCCTGTCCCCATGCCCCATCCCTGTCCCCATGTCCCCAGCCGTGTCCCCATGCCCCCAGCTGTGTCCCCATGTCCCCATCCTGTCCCTGTGTCCCCCCATGTCCCCAGCTGTAACCCCAGCCGTGTCCTCCCCCGTCCCCGTGTCCCCATGTCCCTGTGTCCCCTCCCTGTCCCCATGTCCCCAGCCGTGTCCCCCCGTCCCCATGTCCCCATGTCCCCTTCCCTGTCCCCATGCCCCCAGCCATGTCCCCAGCAGTGTCCCCATGTCCACAGCTGTGTCCCCCCTGTGTCCCCCTCCCTGTCCCCATGCCCCCAGCAGTGTCCCCATGCCCCTAGCTGTGTCCCCAGCTGTGTCCCCCTCCCTGTCCTCGTGTCCCCATATCCCCATGTCCCCCTCCCTGTCCCCGTGTCAGGG